GAGAAGAGAAGAGAAGAGAAGAGAAGAGAAGAGAAGAGAAGAGAAGCACTGGAGGGCAGGACAAGAAGCAACGGGTGGCAACTAACCAAGGAGAGAAGCAACCCAGAACTAAGGAGAAATTTCCTGACAGAACAATTAATCAGTGGAACAACTTGCCTCCAGAAGTTGTCAATGCTCCACCACTGGAAGTTTTAAAGAAGAGATTGGACAGCCATTTGTCTGAAGTGGTGTAGGGTTTCCTGCCTAAGCAGGGGGTTGGACTAGAAGACCTCCAAGGTCCCTTCCAACTCTGTTATTCTAGGAGAAGAGAAGGAGGGACAGATGGAAGAAAGAAGAAGAGAAGGAGAGAGAAGAGAAGGGGGGAGAGATGGAAGAAAAAAGAATGGAAGGAGAGAGAAGAGGAAAGAAGAGAAGTAGATATGGAATAAACAAGTAAAGAGAAGAGACGAGAGGAGGGAGAGAAGGAGGGAGAGATGGAAGGAAGAAGAAGAGAAGGAGAGAGAAGAGAAGGAGGGAGAGATGGAAGAAAAAAACTGGAAGGAGAGAGAAGATGAAAGAAGAGAAGAAGATATGGAATAAACAAGTAAAGAGAAAGAGACGAGACGAGAAAAGGGAGAGAAGGAGGGAGAGATGGAAGAAAGAAGAAGAGAAGGAGAGAGAAGAGAAGGAGGGAGAGATGGAAGAAAAAAACTGGAAGGAGAGAGAAGAGGAAAGAAGAGAAGTAGATATGGAATAAACAAGTAAAGAGAAAGACGAGAAGAGAAAAGGAGGGAGAGATGGAAGGAAGAAGAAGAGAAGGAGAGAGAAGAGAAGGGGGGAGAGATGGAAGAAAAAAGAATGGAAGGAGAGAGAAGAGGAAAGAAGAGAAGAAGATATGGAATAAACAAGTAAAGAGATGAGACGAGAAGAGGGAGAGAAGGAGGGAGAGATGGAAGAAAGAAGAAGAGAAGGAGAGAGAAGAGAAGGAGGGAGAGGTGGAAGAAAAAAACTGGAAGGAGAGAGAAGAGGAAAGAAGAGAAGTAGATATGGAATAAACAAGTAAAGAGAAAGAGACGAGAAGAGAAGAAGGAGAGAAGGAGGGAGAGGTGGAAGGAAGACGTGACACGGCGAGTTTGACACGCGTGCTGAAGTAAGATAGTTGACATGTTGAATGTATCTTGGCAGCTCTTGACTTAAGTTAGCACTATCGATATCTCCTCACAAAATGGGCGTCTGGATATCGCGGTTCAGCCCACAGAATCTGGCCAGCTACAGTTTGTAAAGCGTTGTTTTAAGTTTGGTGTGGAATATAAATTGCAGCTTAGTACAAACGAGGAGAACTTTTGTGGAGAATAAAAGGGTTTGCAATTGATGGTGTCTCTAAGTCCACATCACAAAATGTCTCCTCTCTGAAATCTGACATCCTGGGATATGCAAGTTGCTATCCTCAGTAGAATTGTTTAGCCGGGTTTCAGCGAAGCTGAATTCACAATCAGGGTTGCATCTGTTTAAAAGAAGTTATTCCTCCATCTTTTCGGCGAGTGAACGTACCAGTCCAGTAGTGGGATTCAATTTTTTTTTTACTACTGGTTCTGTGGACCTGTCTTGGTGGACGTGGCAGGGGAAGGATACTGCAAAATCCCCATTCTCTCCTCACCCCCCCTGACCTGCTTTCCAGCTCTGTTCTCCTGGGCAGGGCAACCAAAGAAGACCCAGCCGATCAGCTGGGACTCAATGGGAGGCAGAGAGAAGAGATGGGGTTGGCGGGGCCAGTCGGAGATAGTCGGTTCTCCCAACTACTCAACATTTCCGCTACTGGTTCTCCAGAACTGGTCAGAACCAGCTGAAGACCACCTCTGGGCTAGTCTCTAACGTAAGAGAAGTCTCCGTGCCCGGCTTCCTGACGTTCCCTTGCGTTTTTGGATGTAGCTTGATGTAGGATGCTCATAGTTTCCCAGCTGTGGTTGTTACTCTCAGTGTGTTAGGAGATTAAGGAGTTTTCACTGGGTCTTCTGACTGCTAGTTGGTGTTCATTGATGCGCTATGCTAGTTTTCCCCTGTCTATTACAGTCCTAACCCTGAATGGTGCAGATGACTCCTGTTTTTTTTCTTTTTTTTCCTTCTGAGTCTTTTGGTTTATTTAAGATATTTCAGAGAGCTTTCATTGGTTTGTGTGCTGCAGTGATGTTGCATGTTCTAATGGTGTGTTGATGGTTTGTTAGATGTTTTTGATGTTGGCGTGTCATATATATATCCCATTTCCACCCAACTAGGGAACATCATCGATGCTGCCTGAATTGGTTCATTTTGGATTTGGTTCATATATTTTTGGGGGCACCGGGAGTCCTCAATGAATGACAAGACACAAGAGAAAAATTCAGAGCATCGTCTGCACTTGGATTAGAGTTTATTAATTAGTGACACCACATGGAAAAGAAAGCCTGGCGCACAGGCTTGTTCTGTGGGTCAGCAGGCTGATCTTGTGGTAGCCAGGGAGATTCTGACTTACAACCTTCAAGGTGTTTCCAGCTGTATTCAGAGACTCATCTTGCACAGATAGGGCTGCTCGACGTCACAAAACTGGTCATTCCATCCTTTATAGTCTAGAAGAAATCAAATAATTGTTGAGATTTTTCTTGCAAATGTTTTTGGATGGCTCATCATTTGTACCGAAGAAAATTAGGGTTTGTTTTTTATTTTTTTGTCACAAAGAAATAGCTTTCTTGAACAGGAACATTTCAATATACAACTCTGACACTGTAGTTGACAGGTAGTCCTCAATTTACAAGTGTTCACTTAGTGACCATTGAAAAGTTACAACAGCCCTGAAAAAATTGATTTGTAACTGATTTTGACACAACCCGTATGCCGTTCTCCTGATAATGTAATCAAAATTCAAGCATTTGGTACCTGGCATGTATTTATGACTCTTTTAGTGTCCTGTGGTTAGGTGATCCCGTTTGTGACCTCCTGACAAGTAAAGTAAGTGGGAAAGCCAGATTCGCATAACAACCATGTTCCTAACTTAACAGCTTCAGTGATTCACTTAACAACCATGGTAAGAAAGGTCATAAAATAGATCAGTGGTCGCCAACCAGTGAGCCAGGGACCACTGGTGGGCCGCGAGAAAATTTTGATGGTTCACAGAGAAATGTCCCCCCCTCCAAAGCAATTAAAACAGACTGCGTGGGAACACAAGGCTGCACCACCCACATGGCCCGCGGGAACACAAGGCTTGCGTTGCTTGCATTGTGAACAGCACAAGGAAGTGAGGGGAGGGGGGAAAGGGTGGAGGGGGGGGAACTTGCCCTATACGCCCCATGCGCCTGTTCTGTCCACCGGGCTGCTTCTCCCCGCTTCTTTCTTCTTCTGCTTTTGGCTGCACACAAGGAAAGCAGCCAAAGTCTTTCTTTCTCTCCTCCAAACTCCGCCAGAAATGAGTCTTTGGGACCCTGCAAGGCCTCCTGCTCCAAGAGGCTGCAAAGACTCATTTCTGGCGGAGTTTGGGGGGAGAGAAAGAAAGACTTCGGCGGCTTCTGCTGCTTTCCTTGCACGAAGCCAAAAGTCTCTCTCTCTCCCCCTGAGAACGGAGCTGGAGACGGTATCCTGCGATCCCAATTAAAGAACGATCGATCGGTAGGAAAATGGGGTGGGGGATTTTCCTACAGAATTTGGGGGGGATTTTCCCAGGGTCTCTGGTTTAAAATGATGAGTTTGGTGATCCCTGAGGTCCAAAAGGTTGGTGACCCCTGAAATAGAGTAAAACTCACTTAACTGCCTTGCTTAGCAACAGACATTTTGGGTTCATCTGTGGTCATAAATCAAGGAGTACCTTTATGTTGAATTATTTCCACTGAATTCATAAACTGCAATATTTTCTTGACTGGACATTTTTATAAAAAGTTGAATACGAATCATTACACTGGTAATTAAATAATTGCCTCCTGCTTGACTCAATGCAATCTAAGCCTTACAGGACCTGAATAGGCCAAGTGTAATGCAGCATCAAGATGATTTCAAACGTTTCTTAGGATATACTGAATCTTATATAATTTTCAGTTCACGATACCTAGACACACTTAGGTCCTTGGTTTTAATCATTTATATTCTGGGGAAGAGAAGAATTCAAAAATAAAAATAAAAATGAAATGCCCAAATAATACTTAATAAAAAGACAAAAGATCCCACTGACTAATAATGATGCTATAGAAAATTTAAAAAGCTGATTGGAGAAAAAAAAATATATCAAAAGAATATTCCAATTTCACCGGGTCGCAGGAAAAACTCACTAAAATTCAGGGTCCCTCTTCCAGAATGCTAGATTTTTCCATTGATGTCTAGATGGAGGTTTAGATTTCCAGAAGTAATTTTTTTAAAAAATAAAATAAAAAGCCCCACCCATATTTTTTTAATGGTACTGATTAATCTCCACATATTATCCCAATGGGGCTTTTTCCAAAAGACTTTCTTGAGGGGGGGGGTGTTTCTTGAAGATGAGCTTCTTCAGTTCTAGAAGTTGGAACTTGGAGTCCACAAGTCATCAAGGATCCATGGTTTCCACCTCTGCTCTCCTCGATGGGTGCATACACTCTTTGGGACTCATTAGTGATAGAAATGGTCCCTAGGCATGCATAAATTACTAAATAGGATTGAATCGGGAATGAAGGCCCCGGGTCGTGTGAATGCAGTCTCTGACTTTATGCACATTGGCTGTGGAGGATTGAAAGATTGTGCTTGTTCACCCACGTCTGGGAAACACATGAGATGCCTGGAGAAGTCTGACATTGTAGAGCAGAAAACCTCCTCCTTACCGGAAGTATAGAGCTCAACACAATTCTGCCTCCGTTTGCAGTTGGAAGGTTGATTGACAGCCCAAGGGATGTACTCGCCCCGGGAGTGGTCTTGCCACCTGAATCGTGTCTGTAGAGAGAGAAAGCAACAGAGGTGTCATCTCTCCAAGTGTTTGTCTGAATCTTGCAGAAATCAGGATATTTCCTCTCAACTGTACTTTTCAACAGCAAAAGGGTCCAATGCAAGAAGGATCAAGCTGTCCTAGGGGACAACCGCTTAAGTATAAGCCAGCAATGTTCTTCAGCTGCTGAAAGAAACCAAGACAGGCTCAAGATCAGAAAAGGTGATAGCATTGCTTAATACTGCACTAGTGAGGCCACACTTAGAATACTTAGAATCCAGTTCTGGCCACCACCATACAAAAAACATGTTGAGACTTTTGAAAGACTACAGAGAAGAGCAACAAAGATTAAAGGGCTGATGATGTAAATGTTTCAGGAAGTGAGTATGTCTAGTCTAACGAAGAGAAGGATTAGGGGTGTCATTATAGCAGACTTCCAATATTTGAGGGGCTGCCACAGAGCAGAGGGGACTATCTACTCTTCAAAGCCTCTGAAGTAGGATAAGAAGTAATGGGTGGAAGATCATCAAAGACTGATTCAGCCTAGTGTGAAATTTTCTGAGAGTGAGAACAATTAATCAGTGGAAAGGGATGCCTCCAGAGGTTTTTTTTTGTGCTTCATTGCTGGAGGCTTTCCAATATAGACTGGAGACCACCAGTTGACCTTGGTGGTCTAGGGCTTCTACTCTGAGCAGGAGGTTGGACTAGAAGACCTCTGAGATCCCTTCCAGCCCTAGTATATTCTGCTCTCCATTCTAAAACACGAGAGAATAAATTCAGGCTCGGGTGACTACATGCATTTATTCGTACCTATTTCCTGTATTCTTACTCATATTTATACTCACACCTATTATCTTGTGATTGACAAATCCAATAAATAAATAAAAAATAATTTTTTACCACTCCTATCCATGACCTTAACAAAGCTTAGTGGGTTACTCCAATCCTGATTTGTGTGAGGAAACTTTGAGAAGTTGTGGGAGAAGAAATGAAAAATCCCTCCCTTAAACTCCTGGGCCCCGAAACGAAATCCTGATGCCCATCACTGTCCCGTTGTGGGCCCCTCCCACCCTCAGAAATCTTTAAAAGGGCTGCATCGTTTAAATAAAAAAAAAACATTAAAACCATCGGATTACAAACCATTACATCCCTTAGATATGAGTTGCTTTTTCGTAAAATGGATCTACCGACGGGGTGACAAATGTTGTCCTGTGTCAAAACTATCTCATCAAGGAGAAATCCAACCTAGAACTATGGACAAATTTCACGACAGCGAGAACAATCGATTGGTGGAATCGCTTCCCTACAGAAGTTGCGGGTTCTCCATCACCGGAAAGTTTTGAAGAAGATGTTGGATAACCATTAGTCTGAAGCGGTGTAGGGTTTCCTGCCTAGGCAAGGGGGTGGGGTGGGATAGAAGACCTCCAGGGTCCCTTCCAACTCTGGATCAAGTTATTTCAGGGCTAGAAGCCGGAAGAGGTGTTATAGGTGTTATGTCTCCTCTTGGAAATTCAAACGAACAAACACAAAGCAGCCGTTTCACAATCAAATCAAACTGAAGGAAAATAACAAGATAACGGCCGGCAGAAACTGTTAGGACTCCCCTTCAAAATTCAAACAAACAGAGAGCTCTTTGCAGTAACGTCCTCATTCAAAACAGTCATTTTGTTTCTGGCAAAAGGCACCAGCTCAGCTGTGTCCTTTTATACCCATTAAGGCAACGTGCTAATTAACTGGCTTGCCCTTCAGATTAACGTTTCCTGGTTCTGACGTCAATCCACGATTTAACAGTCATCAGATTCAAAACTCTTAACAGGACCGATCCTTCCAATCACAACATATAGGCATGGACCCTTGGCTGCGTCCCCCACCCCTGCCAGCCACTCACTTCAGCCAAAGGGCCCCTGGCCCTCGGCCCCTCGTCCTTTGCCCCTGCCTACTGCACAAGCAGCTCCCCAGCCAAGTGGACGGGGGGGGGTGGCAATTCGTGACTGGCTGCGGAAAGACACAGCACATCATTGCAAAGGCCATCAGAGAGGGGGGCACCAGAAAAACTGGCAGCAGCATGCAAAAGCAACTGCAGAGAAGTGAGGGGGGGGGCGCCGAGGTGGTCTTCAGCCAGTTCGGACCGGTTCTGGAGAACCGGTAGCGGAAATGTTGAGTCGTTCGGAGAACCGGCCAATCCCGCCTCCGACTGGCCCCGCTAACCCCATCTCTCTTCTCCGCCTCCCATCGAGTCCCAGCTGATCGGCTGGGTCTCCTTCGGTTGCCCTGCACAGGAGAACGGAGCTGGAAAGCAGGTTAGTGGGGTGAGGAGGTAAGGGGGGATTTTGCAGTATCCTTCCCCTGCCACGCCCACCAAGCCACGCCCACAGAATGCTACGCCCACCAAGCCACGGCCACAGCTGATCGGCTGGGACTTCTTTGGTTGCCCTGCCCAGGAGAAGGGAGCTGGAAAGCAGGTCAGTGGGGTGAGGAGGGGAAGGGGGATTTTGCAGTATCCTTCCCCTGCCACGCCCACCAAGCCACACCCAC